CACCTTCCGGCGCAGACTGAAAACTCATCTCTTTCGACTCCACTTCGAGCGATAGAACTATTAACAAAGCACTTGTATACTAATAAAGGACTGGCTTATCTAAAGCCAGTTGAGTAGCACTTGAAATGTTTTTGCTCTATGAAACCTGATGTACTTATATGATTCTGTTTTCTTCAAGTTTGTATTTTGTTGGTCGAACGCACTTATTGTAAGTCGCTTTGGATAAAAGCGTCAGCTAAATGCAATGTAATGTCATGATATTTTCTTTTTTGAATTGCAAAACACCATTTAAGAGCCTACTTTCTGTCCTTCACATTTAAAGCCACTTTGAATAGAAAGAATAAAAGCCAGTGTATCGAGGGAAACATAAAAGGAGACTCCATTGACACATTTTCTTCAAAGAAGCCTTGATCACATCACCTTGATGTCAGAGATGTACTTTTTACCCTTTAGATAAAGTATAACAAGATATATAAAATAAAGATAAAAAGATTTGCCCCTTTTTACTTCAACTTGTGATTATATTTATTTATTTGAATTAATTATTTTGGATTGATTACTTGATTGATAAGTATGCCAATTTTTCCGAAAGGTATTGTGTCCTTTTATTCGAATATAATAGGGCTGCTAGAGATTAGCTTTTTTTATTTATTTCTAGATCAATCTATTATTTCAAAGCCAAGGTGACATCGCTAAACGTCTTGCTTTCCAACAACCAAAGACCTCCAGAGAAACGCAGGAAATCTTTGTGTGTGAACCAAACAGCCTATTCTGACATTTGTGTATGAAATAATGTCTTTGGAGACTAATTAATTAATTAACCAAATAATGGTCCTGAATGAGGCGAGGGGAATCAGATTACCATGTTCCTGCAATGCATTTCCTAGCCACATAAAACAATCTCCATATATTTAATTTTGGAATAAATTGAAGATCTGCTGACTAGTGGAAATACCCAGTAAGAGAAGCTTGTGATCTAATGGGAACTCTTTGGTCAACGATGTTACTGAATTCGTACTAAAACAGCCTTTTTACAAAACCAGGCAAAGTGCCAGAAGAGGACGACATCTCTTCCACATCTAGATCTAAATCACATCTCTGAAAATTCAGGTTTGGATTTATGTCGTTTCTCTTGTAGTAAAGTACGGTTGATGGAAGAAATTATGGTGATCCAGTTTTTACAGGGCATTAAAATATCTGACAAATGGTCTTCACATAAATCTGACACGAGCTGTTCATCAATGGTTATTTTCAGATGTAATTCACACCTCGCTGTAGATTACCTACTTTTCCCTCATGAAGCAGTTTCTCCTCAACAGTAACACCGTAGACTGTTTAGGTAAGGTACAGTTATTCCAGGACACAGGAAGCTGCCTCTAAGAGAAGATCCTAACTGAAGATAGCGGATGAAGTCATATCTCTGTAGTTAAATAGACTTTCAGAGAGGCATTAATGTGAATCCCAGCCGCGCTCTGAATCATGGGTAAGTGGAGCTTCACTGCTAAAAGCCCCTGATTCTGTCTGTGACAACGAGGATTTAGTGCAGTCAGTTCAGTTTAAAGACTCGCTGTTAAAACTACACATATCTTCTGAACACGTGTCTTTTACAATGATATCAAATAAAAGTGGGGAATTATTGCGTTTAAGGAGCTTGGATTTGACTTTAACAATTAAACCATAATCCAATTAGTCGGCGTTTTAAATCATCTGTCAACCAGATGCATCCTAACTCTAATCTGTCATCCCTAGTTCTCTATAACATGTATTGGATCGTCAGGTCAACTCACTTATCCCCTGTTTCAGCCTGAGGTCACCCCCAACACCTGAGACTTTATTATGCCTTTGTCTCCAGTATTGCACTGCATATCGTAAGAGCCTCCGAATCTTTTGCATCATTTCATTCTCAGGTAATAAACTTTGAAGTTCTGCCCAAAAGCGTGTGCTCTGATGAATGATTTAGAGGTCTGTCTGTTAAATGTGGCTCTTTCTGCCAGTGTAAGTGAGTGTGAGCTCGTAGGCTGTAGCTGTCGCTGTGTCGGGGGTAATGAGGTGGGATGGGTTGTAACCAAGTGCTCGACGGAGCAAAACAAAGCCATATGTTAGTCTAAAGTTGTCTCCTTTTGAACTGCTTGGGATGTCATTGTTGTCAAGGCGGCATGTTGTCAAGGCGGCATGTTGTCAAGGCGGCATGTTGTCAAGGCGGCATGTTGTGCGCGTTTGTCTCTCTGGGCTCCAGTGCTCCATCAAGCTCTCGCTGTGTAACGGTAAATAAATGGCAGTCGGCAGCCACTCTGCTGTAGGCAGTGGCTCCGGCCCTTTAATCGTAGCCAGCCTCTGCGCCCTGTTTTTCTTTTTTTACTTCTTCTTCTCTGACTAACCACCCTTGACAGGAGAAGTGCAGAGAGGTAGGCTGCCTGTCGGCTGCGGGGCAAATTTAAACAAACGAGAGAAATAAAAGAAGGAACGGAAGACAAAAGAGGGAAACTGACAGGGGAATAATTACATGCTGGAGTGAAATTAGCACAGACGAATGGATGAGAGAATAGGGAGCTGCAAAAGAAGAAGGAAAACAGCAGAGCGGCTAGAGCTCTTCTTCTGCAGCAGGTTATGAGAGTAGGTGGGAGCTGAGGGAAAATGCTGAGCGTTGTATCCCAAGCTTAACAGGTGTAACAAATTCAAGGAGGTAGTCATTTGCCGTCGCCGGGGCTGCTGCCTATGCAGTCGCTGCTTTTAGTTTAATAGAAATATGAGTAGTTGCCCAACAGGGAGTGCATCCAGCGCTGCGTATGTTTGAAATGTAGAGAGAGCGAGGGAGGCAGAGATGAAAGAAAGAGGGGAGGCTGGATGCTGTCTACTACTCTGGATATCCCTCTGTGGTTTTTCCTTAAAAGTCTATGAACCGCAGAGAAATTCCCCCGCTGAAATGAATTTATTTGTGTGTACATTAGTCTTAATACATCCTTTAAATATAGCCTGTAAATCATGCATAAAGCACTGCGAATAGCACTTGCGTTTGATAAATAGCCTCAATTTCAATTAATAGGATCATTAAAGCCAAGAGGAAAGGGCAGCGGGTGCTGCTGTGAGCACTCTGAAAACATCACACACTTACTACAACTCTTGACAGGCACACCCCGTCTCTCTTTCAACATTAAAGGCAGACAACACGACAGCACACTCAAGGATTACTGCGAGAGGATCCTAACTGATGGGGCCGCCGGCATAATTGTGATAAATGACGGCCTTTTGTTAGCGTGCCACACTGAGAAGCAAAGAGCCTGCTTTTCTAGCTTGAATGCACCCCTTCCAGCATAAGAAAAAAACATGCCATGTTCTGTGACTGCACAGGCCCATTGACTTTAATATAGTGGCATTTTTTGAACATATGAAGCCGTTATTTGTCCCTAGGGCCTCCTGGCTATGAATAATGTGGACCCTCTGTGGGTGACAGACTGCCAATAAGGCTGCTACATGATGGCCAATGAACTGTCAACACTATGCGAGTATGAAACACTTTATTAGTTTACACTCTGTCCTGGAGGTGTAACCGACGGACAGCTGTGGAATAACTTCACAGTGTACACATGGCATATGTCCAAGTCCCACATGGTTCACATAATGCATACGTACGCCTGCTGGACTCAGAGGCTGCAGCTCCATGAGGAAACAAGGCACTTGACTGAACGGTACATCGGCAACACCTGCTGCTCTGACCCTTAATCCCATGATGCCCATGTTCTACAACACCCACGTGAAAACACATTAGAGAATGAAGCGCTCCATCCATAATTCAAATGCAAGGTAAACTAAAGTGGAAAAAAAGGGATTTATGCTTGGGATAGGCAGCTTTTTCTTTCTTTTTTTAAATGACTGAAGGAGACTTGGAAACAAGTACAGACGACAGCAACACATACATTTTAAATGTGATCTGAAACAGTAAAGGGATTACTTACATTGGTATTCTGTCTCTGTAAGCACTGTTGTAAAATAGACCGTAGTTTGTGTTGGAGTAGGATTAAGATGACGCACAATTTCCATCTTTAAGCCCTACGATTGAAAGGTTTTATTTATGGGAACTGTCTTTATAAACATTTGGCATCTTGAGTTATGCACATTGTGTTGTTAGAATTGCCGCAGGAGAGTATTAGCATTAACAGAAAATAGGTACCGCATGTATCTAGAAAATCATTAGCTAAAGTTCAAATTCTACATTTTAAATCTAACAAAGATGTCATCGTACCAGTTTGTCGGTCATGATCAACCACAGGGTCTGCAGGATGACACTCTGTCAGCCTGGTCAGAAAAGAAAGTGATCAGCCGGTGTTTCCTTTTTGTCTGAACGAAGCTGTGGCACAGTGACACCTCTGTTGCCAACTAATTGTCTAATTGTCGGGACCCTCCCAGTTGTTACAAGTTAAATCTGAGCGGTCATGAGTGTATTAAAGACATATGAGGAGAAAACATTCGTGTTCATATTTTTCATATTTTATTTTGCTCTCTTACCTTTTGGTTTTTCGTTGTGAAAATGTTTAAAACTTCACCCCTTTAGGTCTTTAAAATATATCCAAATAGGAAAAATGCAAGAAGGGAAAATCCCCTGTGAATAGATGATGATTCACGAGGCTACAAGCCGAAAAGGTTTGCATGCTCTGGATTCGACATTGAAATACTGTAGCAACGTGTAAAGTGTGAGTTTTACAGGCAGATGGGCTTTGAATCCTGGCTCTGTGGTGCTAAAGGAAGACTAAATCATCACTCGTCTGTATCGAGAAAGGTCTCTGCAAAGGGGCAGAGAGAGAAATGTAGACTAAAGGTCACAGTCTCTATTCTGGCATCTAATGGAAGAAAGATCGAATTTTTCTGATAAGCAACATGATTTCAACTCATAGGATAGATCACAGATGAGAAACTGTATATGGAGTGCAACACATTCAACACATTTGTGGCAGTTTGGGCAGCTGTGCCATGATTAAAGAAGGGAAGAGGCAGACTTCAACAAATATTTCTGGAATATTCTTTACAGGCTGAAATGTGTTCACAGTGTTCAATTAAAAAAACACACTACCACAAATCCCAGCAATGCATTTTGAGTTATTATTAGCACAACAAAATGTGTAGAAATCCAAGCTTGTCAAATGCATTTCCACAGCTCGGCATTACACCCATCAATGTTGCACTGAAACTCAAAACGATGTATCTGTTTGGTTGTGATACTCGCCCTGCTGGTCCGAGTTTAAGTCCGAGTGTGATCACATTTTGTGTGCATGCGTGTATGTTCAGATCCTCTCTAGAGTTCATGGGAGATGAAAGAGGGTCCTAAGGGCGTCTCTGCGGGCTCCAGGCTGGCATGAGAGAGATTGTGGCTTTGGGAGCGAGACAGTGTGTGATAATGAGAGGGGGGGGTTTTCCCCTGTGCCGGGTCCTCTCCCTGCTCTGAGCCCTGGCTCGGCAGGGTGGGGTCTCCTGGTTCTGCCACGGCCCCCGCTCCGGCAGCTCCGCACTCCTGCTTGTGTTTCTCCCAGGCGGAGCTCAGCTTCACAGCCAGAGCCAGCAGGTTCTTCCCCAGGAACACGGTGGACACGCGGGGGTCCCGGTACCACAGCATGCCGGTGCCCCTCAGGGCCAGGGTGAAGATGTTGATGGTGACCAAGCTGAGCCACGGGTACAGAGCCTCCTTACGGGGCCCCCTCTGTCCCGGCAGGCCCGTGGCCCCCAGCTCGGTGAGGGCCACACAGGGCAGCAGCAGCAGGAGGGCATAGCAGTAGAAGAAGACCAGGCCCTCGGCCCAGATGGGCAGCTTCTGCTCGACGACCCCCCCCGACCCCGCCGCCCCCCCCTTGGGCCTCCCACAGCCCAGCCTGCAGGTCCAGCACATCCAGCAGGTCCACCACCACCCACAGGAGCCGGCTCCGCACCTCCTGCTTCCTGCGCTGCGGGGTCATGTGGTCGGCCCCCGTCAGGATGAGGAACAGCGAGGGCAGGCAGATGGACAGCAGCAGCGTCAGCGTCTTCCTGGCCAGCGGGTCGGGGGGGGCGGCGCTCCTGCCTGTAGTTATGGCAGATGAAGAAGAGCTTGAGCTGCAGCAGCGACAGGAAGAGGAACCAGAGCGCGTTGGCAAAGCCGCGGCGTGGCGACCTTGCCTCCGACATCACGCCGGCCGACACGAAGCGCAGCGCGAGCAGGAAGCCCAGATCGCCTAGCAACACCACGGCACACTGCCACACACTCGGCCCTGGAGGACCACGAGCTCCCATCATGCTCTGCTCCAGCAGGTAGAGGTCCACCACTGCCATCGTGCTCACTGTGACCAGGGTTGATACGCACACCTGGGGCGTGGGCACCATGCCTGAAAGAGAGATACAGATATATGATCGGTGGTAAATCTGAAACATGGGCAGAATTCAAACTCTGCTCACATCGCTCCACACACTGTGCTCAGACAAATCTGCAGGAAAATTAAATGTAAAATAGTTTGATGCCTGTTGCTATGGTTAAAGATATTGGCTGCCCAGTAAGCAGTGAGCTCCCTTCATCTTTGTCCAAAGCTACATCTATCCTGGCTGCTCAAGCTGAGAAGCTAAATTGTGCTTTTTTGAAAATCTGCGGCTCAGTGAATTAAATAGTCTTTATTTTCCATAAAACTCCTCACATTATTCCTTCCTAGTCAGCCGTGACTTTTCTGTGTATTGTTGTTATTTTGTGCTTTTTTTTGTACTCATCTTATTCATTATTAATCCATTTCGTTGAGGCGCAGCTAGGTGCTCTGTCAAAGCCTTTTCTTTTCTTCTATAGTCTGCCATGTTTATTCACATACTGTTCTGCAGTCTTTAATCATCGCAAATTCCCCTCTCATCTCAGATGAATATTGATAACTTGCTATTTGTTTGGTAGGCGTTCGACTCGTGTCTTTGTGCACACACTGTGTACGGTTGGGTGAGAGCATGCTGGCAATGCTAATTTTGTTTTCTTTTTTTGTTGCAGCTCATACATCAGTCAGTACAAACCTCAGTATTGACAAATCGTGAGAAATGAGCATTGACTTTACAGCGTAATCGAACCGACCTCTCTTTATCCTGTTTAGCTGCAAATCACAGCACCGACCAGTGTCTGTGTCTGTTATCTGCTCAGCGCCACTCGGGGGTGTCAACCTCTCGAATGGATCGATGGCATTATAATATAAAATCACTATCAGCTCAGATGTGTCGTAATGGCAACAGTTCGGGGTGATCGAGCGAGAGATTGTCAGCATGATTGCGACCTCTGAGAAAAGTCTGCCAGTGAAAAGTGTGTATTGATATGTTGCCGACGGAAGACACATCACTTCCCTCTCTGTAAGACTAACAGGAGCTCTGCCATATCCTTGCCGCTGTCTGAATCATTGAAGAAGAGGAACTCCTCTGGGGAAAAAGAGTGTTTGAGATTGTCTATTCGGTGTGGGGGGATGGAGAAGGAGCATACAACTGCGAGTGAAAGATTAATAGGCCTCTTGGCTGTCTACATGCCTAATAAAGCGTTACGGCGTGATGGTAATAGTTCATAAATAAGCTCAGGGTGAGAAGGGGTGAAAGTGATGAAGAGGAAAATATTCAAATGCAGATAGAAAGTGACTTCCACCCACTTATGTGAAGACACGCAATTCATGCACCAGCGTGGCATGGATGAATCCAAATGTATTCATCACCAAGGCTATTGAAATGTCACAGACATTAAAGTTGGTCCTGAAACAAATGAATCAAAGCGATGAGGAAAGAAATGATCTCGGCTGATTAATCTTCTGCGAGGCATTGTGGGAGGACAGGCGTGGATCCTGCCAACATTCGTATTATCTGGTTGTCTCCATCCTTTTGTCCCACCGCTTACTGCAACTTGATTATCATTCCCCCCAAAAATGGAGTGATTTTCCCCAAGCAGATTGAGAGGATATCAGATTTTAAATGTGTCTTCTATTTATTGTGAATCTGCAGCTGGTGGAGAAGTTTACACCCTCTGTGGCAGCTGGCTATTACTTGAGGTCATTTCTCTCAAGATACTCCACCTGAGCCTTACATTTCACCCGGGAGAAAATCTCCCCGTCAGCCTCTGGTTGTGTTTTGACTCCCTGTCAACGCTGGGTAATTTATTCCACTCTGACTGAGGGACCGGGATGACAGCCCGTGTGTCCACGCTCATCAATAATGACCAAATTCATCATATCCCTGTCTGGAAAATGACACTGCTGTTGACAAGATGAGGCAACCCATTTGGCTGTAAGCATGAGTAATGGCATGTAATGGTGTGCAGGTGAAAGGTGTGTTCATTTTGTATGTGTTCTGATTTGTACTGCAAATCCATTTCCCCCCAATTTGTTTTCACTTGTGGTCTCTAAGCTTGTGTGCCACAGATGCACATGGCTCTCTCTCCATCTGCACCATGTGTCTGCCTTATCTGCCAAAAGATAAAGCTCCCAAGTTCTCTGCATCACACACTGACAGAGATAAAGCAGGGGGTGGGGTTGCCACTTGTTTTTATATTGGGTGATTTCCGTGTGGACAGAAATCTGTAGAGCAAAGATTAATTTGTGTACACCCACAGTTTATCTCCACAAACAGCCCTGAAAGAGCTCCAAATCACATCAAAGAGCAAATCCTCCCCCAGTTCTCACAGGTGGAGCACCGAGGGCATCGGGACAACATCTATGCCATTGTGTGCAAACTAATTAATTAATAGAAAGCCAGGCAGTGTGCAATCCCTGATAATGCCCTGCTGAATAAATCCCCTCTCCAGACTTAGAGCCACGTGACTGAAACATCTGTTGATTTGTGAGGTAGCAGCCCAAGTGCTGCCCGAGGGGCTTTGTGTTATTTCTTTTTTTTACAGAGTTATCACGCTTGTTTTTTTTCTTTCTTCAAAATATGATTATCAATGGCTGCCCCAGCATGCAGTGCGACGCCTTGTATCCTCCGGAAATGTAGCAATCAATGTGAAACCGCTTCTCTGCAACACCTGTTTCATAACTGCCCTATTAACAGCAGGTGCTTATCCGTGCATGGCTGCTAGTAAAGTGAATCTATAGTTACCCAAACCATTCGTCTTCCACTTGGGTTTGGATCCTCCTGGCTTGATTTACGGCGTTTTCCTCCCAAGTAGCGCAGTGTGTGACTAATAAAGTCTATTTTATTGTCGCTGATGATCTTGGTGATAAAGTCCTCTTCTTACAGTCCGGGTGTTTGTTTAGACTCCAGGAGAAGGCTCATCTCGAGGCTTGTTAGAGGAGGAAGTCATCGCCACTGCCACGCCAAGCACACCCGAGTTTGCAGGAACAAAAAAAAAAAACCCGGCTCATACTTATCAAGATTTCCCCCTCCGTGCAGATCTGGCATGGCCGATGTCTGCGTGGTCGATGCCTGCGTGGTTTGTTGCAGAGGCGCCGCTCCGGATCTGTCACCTCCCGCAGTGTCGGTGTGTCTCCGGGCTCCGGCTGCTGCGGCTCCGTCGGGCTCCGGCTGTGCGCAGCAGCCGGGGGAAGTCGCTCAGAAGTGGGGCAGCGGCATTCAGGGGCACCGTGGGATCGTTAAAGTGAAGACCGCTGGCCGAGAAGATGGCTTTGCGTGGCGGTGCAACAGCGAGAGGAGGACGGCGAGAAACTCACTCACGCTGTCCGACTTCGGTTGTGGTGTTAATTTGTAAGCAGGCTACGTGCTCCACTCCAGACCTCCCACCCTCCTCAGTTTCTCCTCCTCTCCTCCAGGAGCAGCTGTGGAAGTTAAACTGGAAGATGCTATGAATATTTGAGAGCACCCAGTTACAGTATAGCCTACTCATTGGTTATGGTAATCATGATGATTGTGTACTTGCAGAAGAATAGTTGCATTGTTTAGAGTGCAGGCAACACACCTTATTTACCCCTTTCTGAAAAAAAGAGTGGAGGAGCGAAAGCCATTTTTAGCCTGTAGACACACTCAGAGCTCCGAAGGCAGATGTTACAACTTTAATTAGTCCTCCTTCTGTCTATTTACAGTCTTAGTCACACAAGGAAATCATTCCTCTGTTGTAGATTAACTCGCTATGTCAGGCTTACTGCACACTTAAACAGAAGGATTTGGAATGTATGCGACAGATCCAGTCTAAAATTATGGAAACTGTTTTTATAGAAAGAGCTTGCTGCTTTCCTCATTAAAACATTTCATTTTGGTTCCTTTGTCTGCCGTGGATGTGTTTTTTAAGAAAATGTCATATAGCAACACCACTTCTTTAAGTTCTTTCAGGTGTATCTGAAGGTATTCCAATATGCACTTTAGCAAAGGTTCAAGTCCTCCGCTCCCTCCTTCAGTGTGCCCGATTCATTTTAGAGTGTGATGTTTAATCAGACTGGTGAGAAAGGGGATGGAGAGTCATCTTTCTTGTCAGATTCAGCTCTGCGCTCCATTGGCTTCCAAGAGAAGAGATATTTTTCCATTTTCCTCACTTAAGCAAGCATTTTCTTTTTGTCCTTCAACCCATCTTTCCTTTTCGCTGCACCCTCTCCTCATGTTTACACCAATCTCTCCTCCATCCTGCTACTATACACCACCCACCCCCTCTTTCCTTTTTTTTTGTTTTTCCTCCCCGTGGGTGTGGTTGAAGGTCATTCTGCACACTGGCTTACTTTCAGAGTGTGGTGGAATAGTAGAGGAGGGCGAGGGGCAGCCAGGCGGGCCGGCTGTCCACAGGACTGTGTGTACTCATCACTTTTGCTTCAGACATGATTGGGGAAGTTTGGAAGGACACATGGGGCTTCGAGACTGTCCAAGAATGCTAAAGGCGTCAGCACTGAGTCATGCTCCACATCAGGACCGAGGCTGACCTCCACAAACACAGAAAAATCATCCCATCACCTTGTGCCTTTTGGCTTTTTCTACATGTGTCCTCTCGGAGTGTAAGACATGAGTGAAGAGCTCCCCTGTAGCATGGCCCACTCATGATGGACAGTAAAAGCTGCAGGAGGATTGGCGATGTTGTCCTTTTTTTATTACAAGCATTTATCTTCCTTGTCCAAAATCCGGCAGCTATAATACCCACGATGCAACTTGACCCCCGACAGTTATTGCCTGTGATCTCAGTAGGGGTGTCTTGACGGTATTCACAGTATTCATATATCATATGAATATTTAATACACATAAGATAATATTGTATCAATTATTCAGCATGTAATAAATACACGCTTTTGTTTCTGATATGATATCAAAGGAATGTATTGTTATATTATGCAGTGTGTGGAATTGACAATCGAGAGTCTGAGGCTCCTACACTGCAACACACAATAGTTAAGACATAAATACATTTTTTTTTAAATAGTGCAAGAAGAGATAGAAGTAATGCAAGGGATGGTGCAAGTTAAATGCGGTAAAACTTAATTTAAAATACAGTGTTTCCCATACATTGAATTATTTTGATGTATTCGTCCGCCACAGATGGATCTCATTTTTTTTTTGGTGGTCTAATGGATAGTGAGGTGGGCTGATGATCGGAAGGTTGCGAGTTCAAATCCTGCCTGGAACACCACTACTAGTGTGCCCTTGAGTAAGGCACTTAGCCCTCAGTTACTCCAGGGAGAATGTCGCTGTAATTGGTCCTTGTAAGTCGCTTTGGAATAAGGCGTCTGCTAAATGCCTAAATTGTAAATTATATTTTTGGGAGAATAAACCCCACAGATCCTCAACTCCGGACGCAACACAGGGCAACAAGAACGTTGTCTACAGTAGCCATGAACTCGCATGTATTTTCTTATTTGAGGGTGCGCGGGCCACCCGAATAGGTTAAGGGGCCTTTGGCTTTTCTTGCCGGGGGGGTTGCGGTGCCCCCACAAATGGAATCAAATTCTGTGGGAAACACTGAAATGTAATACTGTACGGTGGAATAAAGTAAATTACTGTATTTTGTAATAATAAATGTGTGAAATGTAAACAGATCGTAAGAGACTCTCTCAAACTGCATACACTTGTATTTTGAGTGCAATGCGTTTGCCTGGAGACAAAACGCTCACTAAAAACAGGAATATTTCTGAAATTATATTTGCTGCTTTTCTATAGTTATTTCCAAAATATTAGTATTCTGAATAATCTTTTGCCGCAACAATCATGAGGATATTGTGACAGCCCTACTAGAGGTAATTTATCGGATTTCGTGGAGCTCCCTCTGGAGCCACAAAAGGCTTTACACAACTTTGTTCACATGCTGTAGTCCTCCCTGAGACCTGGAAACAGACTTTGATGTGGAGGATCAGTGGAGCTCCCCTTTGAATTAAACCTTTTATTGTGCAAAATGTACTATTATCCCTCGGCTTACTCCATAAACACACACAGGCTTTGTCAAACCGTCGCTCGCTGTTGTAGTTGCAGCCTGACTTAATTCCAACCCCTGCCTCTCTTCCTTTGTCTGCCTCCCCTCCACTATCAGCGTGTCTTGTGATTTTGTTCAGACATCTCCAGCGTGGAGCCTCAGCTGCCTGCAGTTCAGGCTCCGGTGTTTCTGCTGCAGCCTCCACACGTGATTAATCATCTGAAGTGGCAAAAAGCACAACACTGTCAGGACTGTGAGAGGGACCTAATGGAGTTGAAAATGTGATGTTTTGTCGTGATGCAATCCATTTTGTTCCACCCTTCGCCCGCTTGCTTGCGTTCACCATGCCCTCAAGCGGAAAACTCCTCTCCCTGTGCCAGGTGGAAAAAGTGAAGGCTGCCTTTTATTAAGCAGAGATCAGTAAGCACTGCTAAGAAGTGTTTGGCTTGTATTGGTGCTTATAAAGAAGAGTCCCTGAATGTGAACGCCCGGTCAGGTCTCCACTCATGCTTGTGTGAGCACGGATCCTCGGCTCTTATTCACAGGGTTGTACATTGTCCTCAGCACAGTTCACTGGAGACTGTGGGTGAACATCGTTTCCATTTTCCACTTTTAAGACCAATCCATTGATTCCAGGGCAGAAAATCAGGTAAAATGCATGGCCAGCATGAACTCAATTTATTTAGTTTTGCTGTGTGCATTCGTGTCCGTTAGACCTAATCTGAGCGGCTCAGCCTCTCTGTTTGCTCCTCTGCCGCTGACGGTTTTCAACATGAAATCTAATCAGCTGTTTGATGCACAATGTGATAAAATGCCAACAGCGAACCAGATTAAATGAACAAGGTAATGAAGGTAATGAATGGGAGTGTTTCACACTGAAGAGTTTAATTAACCTCCCACCAGCCTCTCTCCACTGCAACACCTCCGTCACCGTATCGCAGACCCTCCGCTGTGTCGATGGCCCGCGGCAATTTATCAGGTGGCCTTGTGTGCCTGGGGCAATTAATCCTCCGTCCTGCCCCAAGGCCTTATCTCGAGTCTGGGTCCTTTTTATCTCCATGTTTGCCACGCTTCCATAAGCACAATACACCTCTTGACCTGCTCCCCCTCTCTTTCTCATCTCCTCCTTCACTTTCTCTTCCTCTCCATTTTCCCTCTTGTGTTTTCTCAGAGGCAGTGCCACCTGTGACCACACACAGCAAACACTTCCTCCCCATCAGCAGTCCCTGGCAGCTTAATATGCACACGTATCCACTCTTCAACGGATAGTCCTGTCAGACCGAAATGAGGCCGAAGTGTTCATACATAAACATACAAAACTCACTCACCCATATTCATGAGGACCTCCTGCAGCCTCTCACTTGGCTCCTCTCTTCTCCCGCTGTTCACCTCAGTTAAACGAACCTCTTCTCGTCGTTCAAATATTGACCACGACGACTGCTGGCCACATTCTGACATCTTTAATATACCACAGCTGTCTCTCTTTTTCTCAGCCCTGTCTCTCCTCCCCCCCACACACACGCCATCCTGCCACGCCAGTGCTACATCTTGTTAAAAAGAGTTAGTGAAGCTGAAAGGCCAATCACATTAACACAGAAGGAGTGTCAAAGAAGACTGCAGAGGATATAGGGAAGGGTCAATTCAAACGGACCCTTCCAAGATTTTTAATTGCAAACTCCTAATTGCTCTCATAATTACGAGTAATAAGACTCTGCCGCGATGATCTTGAATGGATCATTTAGCAATTGGGGAACACTGTCGTAGCTGGATGTGACGGCGGGAAAAATCTTGGTAGATTAGCGTTTAATCCCGTTTCCAAGGATATCAGAAGTCTTTGAAGATGTGCGGCTGAATGTCCTCGCCCACAACCGGCGTGGAAGGCCTCGTGTGATGGGCTGCAGCCATTTTGTACTGGAGAGCGCCTGGGGTTGAATCAGTCATGGTGGTAGACGGGGGATTTATCCAGCCGCTCGGACTCCAGGATGATTAGTTGCTCGGATGCAGTGAGTGGGGTTAGAGATTTGGCCGGGGCATAACGGCTGCTGTTCTCTCTCTCTGATAAATGTCATGCGAAGTTGGACCTTGCTTTCATGGGAATCTACCCCCTTGCCACACTTAAGCTGTGATTGCTAAAGCCAGCATGCTTCAATCAAAGTCATTACCGCAGTTTTACTATCAAATAGCCCGGGGCCAAAATGAGACTTCCTCAGCCTGCTACCTTCAGACGATGAGATGCTCGGACTCATGTGGAACAGCTTAATTAAAAAGTGATCACCTGTCTCTGGTGGATACTGCATTGTATGCGTAGCTCAGGGCAAACTGTGTTATCCCCCAGAGGGTCGTGTTACATCCTCTTATTTGCCACTCTTAAGCTTTCTTTTAAATATTTGCTCTAGCATTTTCTTTTCATAGCAGTGGAGGACTTTCTGGTCAGGGAGGCCGTGTGAAGTCTTTGCCTCGGTCTATCTTTAGAACAGCCGCTCCTCTGCCTGCATAATGTCTTCGCGCTTAAGCACATTTCAGAAGCATCAGGTATTATCTCCGGCTGGTCAGGGAGACTCTGTCATGGTATTGTATGGCATGAAAGGGCCATCCGAGTCGTTGGGAGAGATCGTTATCCGACAAAAGGGGAAGGAGTGAGAGCTGAATGTGTGAGGAAAGGCCTGAGGGTCTGATTTGACTCGTATGCAACATCGCAGCTTTTATTCTAATCTATATTTAATTAGACTTTCCTTCAGTTCTCCCTCCCAGTTTGTTTACCCTTGCTGTGTTGTTTTATGGGAGGCGCAGGGAGGGAAGGGCACTGTTAGAAGGTAGTGGGTTGACATGGGATTACTAATAATACGCACGGGGGCTGGAGGTAGCGCCTAGTGAGGTCCCTGGGGACACCGCTGCATTTCATTTCATTAGTAGCATATTGTAATTCAAATAGCACCCGTCAGCTCTGAAACAATAGCCTGCCTCGACTCGTGTGATGTGTTTACATTTCAATCTGCTTCTTGTTACTGAGCTAGCAGATGCATCGAGACACCGGTGAGTGATGAGCGGTGTTTCAGACCCAAACGGAGTCGTGTAGGATTAGCATTCACCAGGTGCTTTTTGAGGCCTTTAGTGGAGATGATGTTCAGAGAACTTTCCGCTCCGTTAAGTTCAAATAAATGTCTTCCGCCTGCTGTCATCGCAGAGTGTCTCAGGATGGCTGACTTTTCATCAGATCCATTATGAGAATGTGAGAAATGTGCTCTGCTTTGTCAAGGAGTAATAGAAGCTTGCAAGTCCATTAAACTGAATAAAATACCTTCCTCTCATTTCTGCAATGAACGTTTCAATCAGTGTGTTGCCTTTGGGGAGGATGGCGGCTGAAAGTCAGTATAAATTTCTGCAGTAATAATTAGATTCTTTATTAGTCTTTGCCTCTGAATTCAGCTCCAAAGAGGATTGGTGCAAAGGAGCTGTGTTGGCCGAGTGTTGACTTAATGTCACCCATCTATTTTGCTTTCGCTCCGGTTGGCCTTGCCCGAGCAGGAAAATGTGAGGCTCATTCATCACTCGCATTGCTTTGGCTCTGGGCACCAACATGCATTCAGTCATCGCTCGAGTGACAGACACATACAAAAAACAACAGAGAGGCTGCACACACACACAGAGAGAGATGCATCCCAGAGTGAATATAAGTGAAAATGTCTCCCCCAAATACATAAACACCCACACACTCCCTGCACACACATATATAAATACATACTGTCACACGGCAGTCGCTGAACCGCTCGTGTGTGCAAATAGTCAGACCTCTGTGAAGTCTGGTGATGGGTTGACTGACAGCAGCACAGGCATCTGTATTCCTGCAGCACAGTGTGACATGAGTGACGTTCAGCTGAAGGTTTGCACGCTCAGGCTTCTCATACATTTGAAAGCGATCCTCCATCATTTCTTTCTTTGTTTATTTCTCCCAATGCAGAGAGGAATCCCCATTGGGCAGTTCTGCAAGGAGTTCAATGAGAGAACCAAGGAGATGAAGGAGGGCATCCCGCTCCCCATCAGGATCAACGTGAAGGTGAGTCTCTCGAACCCACCCTTGACCCTTTACACCCCTCCCTCCCACGATTGTGTTTAATTCCAATAGCTGCATAGCATTACCAGAGCACTTCCATTATTCATACACTACCTCCGAAGTAAGCCTTTCTATTTGCATTCATTAATGAAACAAAGCCCAGAGGGACTTGGAGTCAAGAGGCATTAAGTGCATGTAGGAAACGTGAATGACTCCGAAAAGAGGTGTTACGAGCTTGTAGATTTTAATTTTACACAACTACACATTGTTTGACTCGTCACGCCCCTCCCCCCCTCCCTCACACCACTCTGTGTGTTGTTTCAAATCAGGAGTTTTTCCTTTGGGCGTAATAACTGTGGGTTGTAATGAGGTGTTGTGATGGAAGGGGGGGAAGCCTAATCCTTTAAAAAGGCGTGAATTCATTTTTGACTTGCAATATGCAGCAAGAACTCTGTTATCACACGTGGCGATGCTGAGCGTCACTGCCATCTGCTGGAGGGCTTCACTGGTGGGCTGCCACTGTGTGAGGTTTAATCTGTGCATGCAGAATGTTGCAGACTCTGAGACCAAAGTAACTCAACGTTCACCTCAGGCTTGTCTGTAGCACATCCTACAGTCATCCCACTTTAAAGGAACAGTTGGACCTTTTGGGAGAATCCACTGCTTCCTAACTCTGTGTGGTGAGGGGCTTGAGCCGAGAGCAGTGAACTTAGCATTAAGATAAGCATCAAGGGGAAGCGGCTCGCCTGGTTAGCCTACCCGCACCTCACTTATTCACATTGTGTCTTTTTTTCTTAATGAAAACACAAGCAGCAGACATGTTAAAAGTCTAAGGCCCGATCCAAATATCCCCACTCACAGACTCAGAGGTGCGAACCTGTAAAGTGTGTGAGAGTTTAGCGCCGTCTGACTGTCAAATCCTCTCGAGCTTGAGAGCTCTCTGGCAGACATTTAGAGAGCAACATGCACAGGATCAATGCTTATATCAAGGTGACCAGGGGAAGCAAGGTAAACATGGACCTGCACATGCATGTTCAGACTAGGGCTGCTCGATTATGGCAAAAATCATAATCTCGATTATTTGGGTCAATAATTGATATCACGATGATTAAAAACGATTATCCATTTACTTTGAAAACATACATTTATTGGAGAAAAAAAATGTGAACAGTAGGCTATGTTTTGAACAGTTGATTACCCTGAACTTTAAGTCTAATTCAACTGAAAAACCAATAAATAATAATAAAAAATAATCGTTTTATTTAGATTACGTTGTTTTCGTAATCGTTGCAAGCCATAATCGTAATTGCGATTAAAATACGATTAATTGAGCAGCCCTAGTTCAGACTGGCTTTCACAAAAACATTAACAAGGATTGAAGACGGAAAATAAAAAACAGTCTAATCGAGGATAAACGACACAGTTCATTTGTTTTATTGACAGGTTCTTTCGATTTTATATAATGATGTTTTGGCGAAACATTTAAATAACATGATTTGACATTTAAGGCAAGAGCCAGTGCGACGTTCGAATCCGGCAACAAAAAAACATGTACAAACAAAAACCATCAATTATAACAAATGTTTGCTGCAAGGCAATGGCACATCTCTTTGCATTTCCTGTTCACCTCTAACGATGGCTTTACTCCCTGTAGGGTTCACTTAGGGTTTCTGTTGCCGCTCTGTTATCAGTGACTGAATGCTAATGTCAGCTTGCTAACATGCAACTATTTCTTGGCAAACAACCGCATGGCGCAGTCTATTTCTACTTTTTATTGTTAACTTACAAAATACAAAAAGATACAAAATGCAGAACTATTCATCTACAACAACAAAAAGCCACCCTGCCATATCAAACCTCCTCCAAACCAAAACAGATATCTAAATCAACAGTTCAGTGATGCATCCCAACAGTATCAGTACCAAACATCATTATAGCTTTCATTTAAATCATCTGTGTCCTATCACCGCGCCGCACAGGTAACAGTGTAAATACTGTAGATCAGCTCTGACAGAAAATAAGACGACGCCTATTAGTTTAAATCAGTTTTCTTTCCCTTCCTTCCCCTTTTTTTAATGATCTATAAAACCTTTACTGCTCCATAACTGTTTCTGCTCCATCCCTCCCCCGCTCTCTATTTCTGCATTTTTCGTTTTTTTCCATTTTGCCAAGAGTCAGAAGAGGCGGTAAATATGAGTTTTTAGATCTTTTTAATGGAGGAGAAAACAACATTGCTTCATCAGACCTTTACAACCAACAGCTTTTCCATGGATGGATAACAAAGTAGTTTCCTTTGTCGAAAGGTCACTGTGAGATAAGACGAGTCTTATGACAAATCACCTGCTCTGTGCTCTCATCTCGGTTCAGCCTGCAGTTATTGCCCTCTGTTTTGTATTGTTATTTATTTGTCTATGTGGCGGATAACAGATGATCAAGAGCAAACTTCCCTCAGATGATTTATCGATTGGATCGGTTTGTCAGATTCTAGAGACTAAAGGTCTTCGGCCAGAGAAGGGACCACATTAAGAAACGATCAGAACAACTCGCTGATGCTAGAGAGGTTTTTTATTTTGGTTCTGAGGGGAGGATGGAAAGGGCGAGTCAGTGAGGCTGGAGAGCAAATTAAAGCACAGTTAAACACACGGGGGAGGGGGGCAGATAAACTAATATTAAGACCTCATGCAAACAGGTTAGGTTACACTTAGTGATTCTGAATGAGTGGTAACTTCATTTCATCATCTTTAAAGCTGCAGAATGATCAACCATCTCTGCAGTTCTCCTTAGATCTCCTTTTTGCTTTAACGGCAAATAATCTCACCGTTTTGGTTCTTTTTCAATGCTTTCATCAGCATCGGTTCAGCTGCAAAACAAAACCTTCCAGCTCCAAACAGCAGGAAGTTGGCGACTAGCGGGGGAACATAGCATCATATTTGGAAGAGCCAAAGGATTCTCCGAGGAGCCGAGTAGTGACCAAAACATTTGTAAACATGATTACAAGTAAATGCTGATATTGGTCCGTATCAACTGGAAGTGGACAATCGCTTGCTCACACATTCACCATGTAATCTTTGAGAGGTGTTTTTGAACTTAATCAATAAAAGCAGGCAACGATTACAGCCCTGTAACCAACACTTTTCATATTCTTGAGAAAAAACTGAGGTTGTTTCTGTTCAATAAATATTGCAATGAACACGGTGCGGAATCAGGCTCAGAGTGTGAAATGAAGGAAGCTTTATTCTGAGAGAGATGAAAGAAAAAGCAGGTACCCCTCAATCACGGGGACTTGAATACTGACGACTGCAGCCTCTGTGGAGAGCAGGCAGCGGTCGATACAAACACGTTTGTCTTAGCTTTAATCATGTAGCATCAATAATAAAGGATTTTTAACTTTGTGCACTTTAACAAAGCGATGTGCTCTGAATGTTGGTGGAAGAATTCATTGGTCCCAGCTTCAGTTTGTGCTTCTACTCGGTTTTTATTCATGTCAGTAAATACTAAGAGTCATAAATAAAGATACAGTACATTTGGTCCGACCCGAAGCTACCATTAAACACCAAGGAAGATATCAAAGTAATTCCTATTGTTTCTCCACAGCCTGACCGAACGTATGAGCTTCGGATCGGCAGGCCCACGGTGTCGTACTTCCTGAAGCAGGCTGCGGGGATTGAGAAAGGCGCCGGACAGACGGGTGAGTTTCTCTGCCTGACTGATCCACTCTCACTCACTCCCCCCCCCTCCCCCCTCCCCCCTCCCCCCTCCCCCCTCCCATCCGGTAGCGGACACCCGTCTCTTCCCTGGGCTTGGTTTTCAGCTTTCCTGTGATTGATGTTATATTCATGACATGCGGGGGAACTGCTGCAGAGGAAGGAGGCAGCAAAGGTGGTGTGTGAGGAAAAGAGAGTTATGGATCCCTAAGTTTTGTGCTTTTTTTGTCTCCAGCCCCACCCCCACCTTATCTGTGCCAAAACGTTTTGGTACGTTTATTGAAACGTACCGTGTTCTTTATTCAAACGCTGAATCCTCTCTTCTGTGTGTGTTTGTGTGTGAAGGCCACGAGACAGCGGGGATGGTGTCGGTGAGGGCGGTGTACGAGATTGCGCAGGTGAAGGCCGAGGATGATTGCTTCAAAATGAGGAACACCTCATTACAGACGGTCGTCAAGCGCATCATCGGCTCGGCTCGTTCGCTGGGCATCCAGATCGTCAACGAGTGAGTCCTCGTTCTGTGTTGGGGGCCATTTTTTAATAATTTTAGCTGATTTAAGGGTTTCGGGGTTAGGTGAGTAGGGCTGTCTGAGGCTTTGACTTCAGTCCAAGAACATTTTGGCTATTGTTTTAGATGAAGTTCTTCAAATAAACAAAGACACATGCAGAAATAAAACGCCACACACATTCCTGCAGAGATGAGCAGAAGCAGCAGGTGTTGTCTCGTCTGTAGATGCTGCTACGCCCCCTTACAGCCACTAGAGGTCAGAGGAGAGCGCAGTACAGAGACCACAGTGGCCAAAATAACATTGTGTAGATAGTAGAGTATAAAATGCAATTAAAACAATAGCCCTGCAGCAAAATCATTTATTGTTATAAAGTCAAAAGGTCAGGATTTGTGACGTCCCCATCACATTTGATCTCTAGAAGGTCCTTGTTCCTTTTTATTATGCTCTTTATAGCGTGCTTAGATGAACTCAAGCATGACACAAAGGCTCCTGGAAGAAAAGTGGACCCTTCATCTTAACAAGGGAACATGTGAAGAATCTATATGCCTTAAACCTTGAGCATCTATCCATACGAAGTCCTATTCAATATGTACATACATATATCTATGTAAAGAAACCTGAACGTAAGAAAATAAGCACTCTGGGAATTAAACAATGTAATAAAGACTTAAAAACTCAGGGAAGGTGTTCACGGTTAAAACGTGATTAATGCGGGGTACAACGGGGACCTATTCTTGCATCCGAGCACGGGGGCTCATTGTTTCTTAATTTGCCACTCTGTTTAATAAGACCCTGACAGTATGCATCTATCTTTGGCTCAGGGTTTAGTTTGTGTTGCTAAATAACATTATACTGTGTTATATAGTGCAACCCCACTCATACAAAACAACATGTATAACAACATGTGACCTGACAACAACAACAACAACAACCCCCGCAATTACAGTATAATGTTGCATAATGTCATGTACTGTATACAGAATCGAAAGTATGTTTTAACATATACTTACTTCAAAAACAATTGACTCGGACTGTTTGTAGATAATACTGTCAAATCAGTATGTAATGTGGATTTCCGACTGAATGCAATGAGCTTCAGAAAGATATCAGAGATGTGAACTCCCCTTTGCATCTTATCATCCACCTGTTCTGCTTCAAACGTTTAGATATGTATCATTCATCAGCTGCACAGCAGGGTCTGTTTCAGTTCAGTCTTCCCGCACAATCGCACCCCCACAACCCCTCTGGTTCTTCTTCCCTTAATGATATTCTACTTTTCCCAGAATCCCTTTCTCTCCTTACTTAAACCCCAACATGTCTTGAGGCGGCAGTGCATGATGATTTATTGAGAGTGCTGTCAGAGGAGGAATGGCTGCCTGTTTAACAATGGATCTGTCCCTGGCTGGCTGTTCTGCTGCACTGTGGCGAGTCCCGAAACAAGATCGTTGCTCTTTGTTTCCGGGGGGGAGGGGGGAGGGGGGAGAAAGTTAATGTTGCACAAAGCTGAATGATTTACAGCTAAAACAAATAGGAATGTTCCTTATTTAACATTTCCATCTCCACTGGTGGTGTTTGATAACCGTGTTCGTCCAGTTGTATTACATTTGAAATCACTTGTCTACAAAATGATGTAGGGGTTAGGGAACACCAGCCGTAGCCATTTGTCTTCAAACTTTTGAACAGAAGATTTTCCTGTAGCAGTAAGTTTGGGGGATATAATGTTCTTCTTTTTTCTCTCCCTCTCTCCCTTCCTCCCCCTCCTCTCCAGCCTTTCAGCTGATGAGTACAAACTCTTCTTGGCACAGAGGGAGGAGAAGTTGAAGGCGGACGCAGCAGCCGCCGCCGATGCAGTTGCGCTGGGCAAAAAATAAATAAAGACCTGCGCCATTTTTAACATGGCCCTCCCCCATTCCCATTTGTATTGACTCTATACTGCATTCATACAAAAACTCTGTTCACGTTGTGTGTCTGAATAAACAGTACGTTGTTATGTGATTCCTTTTCTCTGGCCTTATTCACATCTGATATTTAGATATTTCTTGTTTGGTTCCTAAATGACTGAAATATTTAATTTTGACACATCCGCTCACATTTTGGATATGTTTATGACCTTCAGCCGAGATAATGAATCTGTCTTAGAAGCATTTGTATGTTTAGCCTCTTTGATGTTGTGATCTCTTAACTCTCCTCCAAGCGGTTTGGCATCCTGTCAGGTTGTGCAGATGTTCTAGAGTTCACACGCCTCTCATGAATCTGTGATCTGAAGGGTTCCTCACATGAAATATTTCAGAACTCACGTGGACTGTGAGGGCGGGGCGAGTCTCGTGCTGGCTACATTAGTTTTATATTATGACTTAATGAACTTTTGCTTTAAACACAAAAGGAGTTTGGTTTGATGTAAATGAATAAACATCGAACCAATGCTGAAATAATAAATAACCAATAAGACAACAAGACCATTTTTAAACTCAATTAAGCCATTTACGCCATTAATGAACCAAAATACCAGCCTTTCAAACGTGAGGATTTCCTGTTTAAAACCATTGTTAAATGTTAAATGGTGGAAGCCAAATCTTACAGACACTTTTGAGTCTGGGATCTTTTTCTTTTCACTATTATGTTGGTATTTAAATAAAGAAAATTGCATTTGCCTGTATTGATATGCAAAATACCGACATCAAGGGTTACGTTTAAGATTTTTCGGATCGGTCTTAAATCTGTACGTCTGTAGTGACCACGATATCCATTTGTTTTGTGTCCTTTGTTTGTGATTCACTCGTGGGGCTGACCGAGGAATAGACGCTTGTAGTTTGAGAGAAAAAATATAGAAATGTCCAGATGTGATTGAAAAGTAAGATAGTTTATTCCAAAAAAGGCAAATATAAATAAACGTTTTTAAACAAACTATTTGTCATATAAACTGATACTTCAATGTTAAAGGCACAATAACCAAGCTGTGACGCTCCCAACCAGCAAGGTCTAAAAACTGTTTGCTTCAGTCAGCACCTCTCCTTTTATGCTGCAGCACCTCGACCTGCCGGAGTAACGCACTCAAATTAAATAATAAATAATATACACCACAGAATCTCAGGCTCTAAAAAGATAAAATAATATAAACTAAGGAAATGGCTAGTCCATGTTTAGATTGAAATTGTTTGCTGTGATTGTTCCCTCACAAACCTCTAAAGTTCAGCTGGGTCTGGTAATCATCCAGGATCAACGTCTGCCGTTTCCCAGGCAGTAAACATTCATCTATCCATCACAAGGTTGGAGGTTCGATTCCCACCTTTGTCCTGTCGATGGGTGTGTATTCGCATAAAGAACAGATTCTAAAGTTATAGGATCAAAGCAGACATTTCATCCTTTGCGATATTATTCCTCGTCCACAGCGCTGCAAGGAAATGGTGTCTGAGGACATTTCAAAGATGGAACAGGTGACTTACAGGCCACTCTGGACATGAGGAGCAACAACATTCTGCATGTGGGTATTGTTTCGTCAGGACCTCTCCATTAATAATTGACTGTTCTCATAAGTGCTGCAGCGATTAATCAACTGACAGAAAAATAGGCACCAACTATTTTGACAAATAATACAAATGTAGGTCATTTTTGCAAAGATCGTGGAGATTCCCCGCTTTTCTTTGTTTTTTTCTGAATCAGAAATACTTCAATAATCCCAGGGGGGGGGTAACTGTTTTTTGTCACAATTGTCCCATTAAAGTGAATGAATAAAATACAAGATAAGTGAAATTAAATATAATGTACTATATAATATAAAAGACACAATAAATATATAAACATACAAATTAAAATAAAAAGCTAATTGCCAGCATTTGAGGAGTTAAACAGTCTGATAGATACAGACAGAAAATACCTTTTTCCTGTTTCCAGCCTTTCAAACGTGAGGATTTGCGATGTTCTCGTTTAACATCATTGTTAAATGCTTGAAGTTTATTCTTACAGACACTTTTGAGTCTGGGATCTGTAAAGATAATTGCCTTTATTGACTGTATAACATCTTGTCATCACGGGTAAGGATATCTATTCTTTGATATCTTTGGGTTTTAGAAAAGACACACAAGACTTTGAGACACTGAGGTGGACAGTTTGCACTTTTTTCTGACATTTGTATAGACCTCAAGGTTTCAAGGCTTTTATTGTACTGTGTGAATACAGTGTAGTTATGACAGTGAACATCTTACTGTAGGTCACAGGCTCCTCCAACGGTGCAACACAATAAAACAGATAAAATAAGTAAATAAAATACAATCGAATATAGGATTAATGTATGAAATAATCGTCAGATGAATCGATAATGAAATAATCATTACTTGCAGCCATACAGTAGATGTCCACCATCTCACCGAACCTGCATGTACTTAACCTTCATGTAAGCTCCGAATAGTGTCACTTATAACAGCTGTTATATTATTAGGATGTCCTTCACACCTGTCTTCTTCAGAACCTTTTTCTGACATGGCCTCTTACACAATACACACACTTTCTTCTCTCTGCTGCAGTGCATGTCTTTGCCAGAAGAGCGCAGCAGTAAGCTGAGCAACTCTTCCTCCTCTTGCTCATCTTCACTCCATCAGACACTGCAGCAGCAGCAGCAGCAGCAAGGAGTGATGGTACAAAATGTTCCCGTGCAGAAAACCACTATAATGTTTACAGTCTTTTCTCATCACAAGTAATATAAGGTGTATTGTTATTCTTATTTTATGACACGGGTGATAAGACCTGACAGTAAAAGATCCATAAAACCAATCATCTATGTTTTATCTATCTGGATTCTCAGAAAATCAATTGTATTTTTTCCTAAAATGTTGATTTTCTTTCACCTTTCCATCGTGTGGCGACAGCATCATCTTTACTGTACCTCTAATTTTAGCCTCCTCTCACTCCTCCTTTGTCTCCCCTCTCTCTCCAACCCTCCCCTCTCTGATCCTTCTGAATGGATGCTGAGAATAGACGGGAGCAGGAATGCCTATATATGGAGTCTCGCACCGCGTCATCGCTGATGGAGTCACAGGTACCTCGATGGAGTGAATGTGGGCTACTGTGATTTGTAAAGAGGGGTGGCAGAAAGGAGGGGGGGGGGTCATATTGCCTACTATTATGTGTGTGTGCGCATCATCATAAGTGGGAGGCTGCCTGCGTGCAAACGTTTGCACGCAAAAACCTCGATGCCCAGAGTGTGCGTCAGTCTGAGTCAGATAGTGTCTCATTCTATCTCGTCATGTGTGTGCGTCAGTGCTGTTGCTGAGCGAAACTCGCTCCAGGGGAAGAAATGGAGGAGGGAGGAAAAGAGGCAGGGATGATGATGATGATGATGAGGCCGAGGGAGAAACAAGGGGCTTGACTATGACGACACAAATGCATCATTCGCATTAAGAGCACTTTTAATATAAATGCATTTGTATGACAATCAAATACACTTATAAGCAACACAATAGAACACTGATCCACAATGTCCATTCTGCAGTAAGTAAGATGTTCACAATATATTCCATCTTATGCAATAAAAATCTCTCTCTCTATATACAGAACAGTAGCTGTTTCATACAAATGTACAAATGTGTACAACCTTTCTGAAAAGAACATGTGCCTATATCCACAGACATAATGCATATGCAATAACACCTTTTTCAAATATCACACATACAGTATAGTCATTTTACACATGTATATTAACTTAGCCTTGAATAGCTAGAACGTAGGAATCAATCCTTTACTTGACCGTAGACAACTCTACGTGAGCATGTCGACACCATGGGAATAGTACCATTCTCAACCCGTGTCGCTTGGTAACTGAATAGAAATAGCACCCCATCCCTATTTTCATTTTTTAAAACAAAACTTTTTGTATTCTAACCCCTCTCAAAAAAGAAGAATCGCTCATTCACATAGTCAATTGTGCCTCACTCCAGTGGAGCAACGATGTAAATGTCCATGTTGAATGGACTTGATAAAGAGTTCAGAGTTCAGCAGGTCAGGGCCGTGTCAGGCACAGGAGCCGCTATAAGCTGCCAGCATTGCAAATATTGATGCTGCAACAATATCCAGCCGACTGCCCTCAGGCCAGCGGACCTGAAGAGCCCACATTCAGAGTCTAATGTACAGTACGACGAAGCAGTGGATTTGTAGCATGATCAGAGCTCCGGGAAACTTCCAGACAATTTCTTGCTCTGTGTTATATCTCGTAAAGCACTGGACACCTTCAACATCCTCGAGATCTTCACATGCCAGGATCTCCACACATGTTTTTCTTTTTTGTTTGCACATCACAATGATACACAAGATTTTAGATGGAGAGATAAATAGGAAACGTTAAAGGTTTGAAGCCGCAAACTCAAAGCTCAAAGTATGTCTGGTTTAAAGTTGAATAACTGTTAATGAGTTAGTTTCGATGTTGCCTTTAAGGCTGAGAGGAAGAGTGTTATCGAATCAAAGATGTACTGGCGCTGAAGAGCCCTTATTTTGATGTACAAATAGTGGTCATCCTATGGATGTTGGAAAATTGTAAACATTTGACTTCCAATACATTTGAGATTTGAGTTTGCATCGCTGCATGTCAGGCAAAAGTGCTATAATTCATCTCTCTATTGAAATAGCAAGAAATGTTCTTTTTTTTGTTCACAACAGATTTTTCACTACGAGTGAATACAAATGCGCATCTGGAAGTTAAACAGCGCTTACAAGTTCAGAGAGGTTTCTCTTTCTGATCATATCTCAAGCTCGTGTCACAGAGAAGCTGAAGACGCCACATGGACTCAAAACCCAGTCAGTTATGAGTCCATGTGGTCGAACCATCACGTAAATGTTGCACACGTTTGAAAAAGTACACAGATTAATGACTGAACCAAAATATAAAGCCAATCTTTGTTCTTAAGAGACATGTAGGAGTTAAAGTCCTTAAGTTGTATATACATTATGTATATTTATACACTTAATAATTTTTTACTTTGCAGTAAAAGGGGCTCCACAAAATATGACAATATGCCATACTTAATGAAGTAAGTCACAGACTTATTTTAGAACGGAGGAACACTTCCACTCCCATCTGGAAGACAAGAAGAGGGAAAAGAGAGAAAGAGGACGTTAGTGGTGATAATCCAGGAAGGGTTTCTCATTTAAAGATAAATACAAAATACATCTCAAGCAGACAGATTCTCACCTTTGTGGAAGCACTGTGGCGATGGGTGACATTGGAGTTGATACAACTCAGGTTGTTGCCCTAAGCCAGGGGCGATCGAGGCACCTGCCCCAAACATGGGTTCCAGGACAGCCAGTTCCTCCAGGAGGGACTGATTGCAAGACGCAGCGGGCCCAGGCGAGGCGACGGGCGTGGAGAAGGCTGGTCTGGGGGAGGCCGTGAGGATAAGGGGAGGTGACGCTGGGATGGAGGAGCAGGAAGACACAGGAGATGACACCACCTCGATCTCCATTGCTTCCTCCGCCAGCCCCTCACCCTCCGCCATCGCCATCGCCCGGGCCTCAGCAGCCGCGCCGCACCCGGCCGTGGAGTTACATTGCGCCGATTGGACGCTACAGAAGTGGCTCGCTCCCTCAAACTGGGAGGGTTGGCGCCAGCACACTGGGGTCTGAGGAGAGAGTGGGCTGCAGGGGTTCAGCATAGGGGAGGGGGACGAGGTGAGGCTGGGGGACTGGGGGGGGAACGAAGGTGTCTTGGAGGAGGGTTTCTAAGATGCTCTCTTCAAACAGAGATTCGTCATCGTCGAGGAACATGGGAATGTCCAGGCCTCTCCACGCTTTGATGGGATAAAACTCCCTAAGCATGTGACCCGAAACAACATCATCAGCAGTTTCTACGGCGGGTGACAGGAAGGGGGAGGGAGGCGCGGAAGAGGGTGACATGGAGGGAGGAGACAGTTTGGACAGGAGGGGATCCAGGTAGAAGCCCTCTGCCAGGGAGCTGATGTGCTGAGCTAACAGGGAGATCTCTGCCCTCTCCTTCTCCCTCTCTCTCTCCAGGGAGAAGAAGGAGAGGTAAGGGTATTTACCAGGAGACGCCTCAGGGGTGAGGAGGCCCTCTGGGGGACACTGGAGGGGCCCAAATGGAACATCTACATACAGCGGACCCCGAACCTCGGGCAGGGTCATCACTGTGCAGTCGCCGTCGTCCCCGGGGCTGTCGGGCGTGGGGGGGAGTTTTTCGTACAGAGAGCCGCTGCCGTGCTCGATGGGGAACAGGAAGTCAGTGGATGTGGTGGAAAGGGTGAGGGGGAGCTTGGTGGACAAGGAGGTGGGGGGAGAGGGGCTTGTGGCCGTAGTAGGGGGGTCTGAGGAAGAAGCTGCCGGGGCCATGGAGGTGGTGGAGGTGGCGGTTGTCGTAGAAGGAGGAGGAGTGGTAGTTCCAGCCGGTTCAAAGCTGAAGAGGGGCTCACCGAAGGGGAAGTTGGACCCAACGACGTGGGGGGTATAGGGCGGTGTGCACACAAACTCTTTGGTCTGCTGCTGAGCTTGTGAGGTGGAGACAGGGGGGAGTGGCAGGGGGAGAGCTGGCAGAGCGGGGTCCAGCTGGAAGGAGGGCGGCAGCAGGATGTTCTGGGTCAAAAAGTCCAAGTCTGCTACCGTTTCAACAGTGACTGGGGTGGGGGAGGAAGCAGCTGAGGGGCTTTCGGGGGGATGCTGCTTGAAGAAGCTTTCTTCCTCCAGAGAGGAGATACTGGAGCGGGGGTCTCCCTCCACCTGCATGGCCTCTGCCGCAGAGCTACCGCGCTCATCAGAGGAGCCCACGCTGCAGCCGGCTGTGCTGAAGTCAAAGGACTGGGCGGAGAGGCCGCTGCTGCCCGGGGTGAAGACCTGGTCCGGGCTGGACAGGGTCTCTGGGGACTGGAGGCTCAGACCCTCCTGCTGAGAGGTGCCGCTGCTCAGAACCAGAGTCAACTGAGTCGCCTCGGAGGTGAGCTGCTGACGCACGGACCACGCCTCAGACTCACTGAGAGGGGAGAAAACAGAGGAGGAACAGGGGGTTAGGATGGAGTTGTTGGCTGGTTGAAGCAATACCACAGTGTAGAAATATTCTGTTAGGCCTGCTTTCAAAATGTCACTTAGGTCAAAGTTGATGTATGTTTATGCAGGATCTTTAAAGTAACTACAGCTGTCACATAAATGTACTGGAGTTATATACAAAAAGTCTCTGAAATTTGGAGTAGAAATATATAAAGTAGAATTAGGGAATACTCTAGATAGAACAAGTACCTCAAAATTGCACTCAAGGACAATACCTACTTCCACCACTGGGGGTTTAAAAAGTAAATACCTGATGATGTAGTTGTTGCTGCTGATGGGGATTTCCCCGGGCTGCAGCTGAAGCACCATGTAGATCCAAACCCACGACTGGTCCTGGGCTTGCACGCGCACCACCATCTCAGCTCTGCCCTCTCCTCCCTCTCTCACTGTGGAGCAACAAACACAGCACGTTGGCATCGGCTCGTAATCCTATTAATCATCAGAGTGTGTTTTTACTGCGTGGATGTGCCGGTGGGCACGATGTGTGTGTGTGTGTGTGTGTGTGTGTGTGTGTGTGTGTGTGTGTGTGTGTGTGTGTGGTGTGTGTGTGTGTGTGTGTGTGTGTGTGTGTGTGTGTGTGTGTGTGTGTGTGTGTGTGTGTGTGTGTGTGTGTGTGGTGTGTGTGTGGTGTGTGTGTGTGTGTGTGTGTGTGTAATTGGTGTGGGCAATGCATGGTTGTAACTATGCGTGAAGAAGAGTACACTTACATAGGCTGCGGTGCTGAGCGGAGGCATGTGACAGATCCTGTGGGTGGAGGAGGCTGTACCAGGAGCAGGAGCGCAAATCTGTCACATCAAAGCCGAGAAAGGCGCTCACACTGTGGGAGAGAGTGGGAGGTGACTTGTTAGCAGGATAATTGTTTACCCAACTCATAAACAGATTACAGTCAATATTGAAGCAACAGGTGGAGCTTCTGTGTGTTTCGGGGGGGGGGGGGGGCTCACCTTTGCTGGGCAGTCTGCAGCCTCATGTCCCGGGAGTGCTCGGAGTGGAAGCAGGGCAGGAACAAGTTGGTGTCCACCGGGGGAGGGGTGGAGGTGGACTCCGGGTCTGCCCCGGGGCCAGAGCGGCTCGGGTGGGGCTCCAGAGGGGAGCAGAAGCACACCCACACCGTGTTGGCGGTCCAGTAGGTTCCGGCTGCAGGGGCTCCGGAGGGGGGGGAGAGACAGCGAGCCCGGATCAGAACCAGCTTGTTCCCGGCGCTCTGCCTCCGCACGGACTTGGAGGTGTTGAAACGGCAGCGGAAGAGACGGTCTATGGGGGAGAAAATGCTTTATTTAACAAAATCATATCCAAACACGCATTTGATTATTCAATAAATATCACTTGTATGTTTGTCTTACCGGTCTCAAGTGAGGTGGAGACTGACAGGTTGCTCCTCATGATGAAGTGGTCTGAGGCGTCGATGATATCATAAACACTGTCTCCCTGTGCCACAAGATCCACCTGAAAAACACGTTAACATGTTATTTATGAAGCCCAAAGAAGAGCCAGAATATTCCCTTATACTGAACAACGCATCATTTCAAAAGACTCACCATGGAGTGTCCGAGGTGCTCGGAGACGCTGTCTGACAGGTACAGGAGCTTCCCTTCCCCGGTCACCAGCATCAGAAACCCCGGCAGGGCCTGCGTCAGCTCCGACAGCTCGTGGAAAGACAGAAACCTCGCGCACTCCTCGAGACTCGCAGCAGTCCCCGCTTTAGGTAGAAAGGCACGGAACAAAAATGTGTTAACACACCGAGTAAATATGATATCTGATCTCTGCAATGAAGCTTAACAGTAGCTGCAGTGTGTTTCAGCACTATGGACAGCGGCGCGGCCGTATTTATCGCGCTGATGAATTTCAGCACCACGGACAACGACAAGCTTCTATTAAACGCTTTTATGAGATTATATCGATTAATAAATGACCCAAATATCTAGAGGTTGTCCTAAAGAGAGATATATCCCAATTTGCCCGCGGTGCCATTAAAACACTTGTTGATCAACCACTGAGAGTCTGTCTATGCAGCACATGAGATTCATCAACAGGTCTTTTTATTCTTACCTTGAGTGAAGAAGACGGATTTCCTGGTGTACATGGAGGCTAGTGACATGATGTGCAGGTATGAGAGCCGTGCTTTATCTGCTTCAGATATGGGCAACAAGTCCTTCAGGTTCCGGATCTCGGCGTTGATCTGGTCCCGTCGAGCCTTAGAAGCTCCTTTGGTTGAGCGGTACATTGTGGCTGTGGTTGCGGTGATCTGTCCAAATTCCTCCAGGTGTGAGTTAGGATAGTTGCGAGCGGAGTGTGGTCGGTGTGCCTCGGCTGCCCTGTCCCCGTGATGTGTTAAGAGACAGGTTGTAGAAGTGGGGGGAAAGATTTGTTATTGGACTTTCATCTCAGCTATGTTTCTGTTTCCAGAGAAAGGTTTTAAAACCTTCTCCTGTCCTCTCTCCGTCTGCTTTAGCTCCGCCACAGCGCCCGGCTCGGATGCTGGCCGGCTGCTATCTCTATCCCTCCTCTCGGAGTGCAGGCTGTGGTAGCCGTCTCTCGGAAGTCCGGAACCTGTAAATCTGGTTGAGGGACTCTGCTCGCCGGTGACTTATATAGTCTGGGTCTCCGCTGGAGTAGGGGGCTCCCAACGCACCAACACCGACGTAAAACGGAGGGAGAGGGGTGAGGAAAGGGGGGCCAAGGGGGATGGATATGTCTCGTATCAGTGTAAGCAATGGAGAAGCTCTCCCCCTCCCTCCCGTGTGCCCTCTCCTCTCGGTGACTCTCCTCCTACGTCAGCTCTTCCCTCTACTCGGTGATGACGTAGGTCTGAAATCGGGAGCTCCGGCGACGCAAAAAGCCCGATTTGGACAAAACCGAGAAAGGGGCGGAGCGAGAGTAAAACGTAAACGGAGTCACCGGACTCCGGTGTATTTGAGGAGCAGGAGGGGAGTGGGGTGCAGGGGAGGAAGAGAGGAGGAAGGGGAGACTGCGTTGAATACCAAAGAGGAATCTGTGTTGATATGTCTGGCACCGGATCGAGGTACCGTTCATAACTGTTTTCCCCGGACCAGTCGGTAAACAAGACAGGTGCTTGTTCGGTGCAATTCATTCATTTCAGTTTAACCGCATTACATGTCAACATTATAAACATGTTAGATTGATGACAGTGAACGCCACACAGGACATGGCTGCTGATGGTGTTTACATCGCAGCATCTCTATCGCCTTTTATGAATGGAGATGATTCCTGAGCTGCTGAAAACAATAATGGATGCACCCACCTACACAAAATATGCCTCAATGTTTTGCTGCTGCGCATGTTCCAATACCTTCACTGCAATCTCATATTTTGATTTCAAAGCAATATTTAGCATTTGGTAAACGTTGTTTTCTCAATATTGGCTTGCATGTTTTCATTCTATGTTTAATATGATCTTCGGCTGAAGTTAGTGACGTAATTCAGGTTATCAAATACTTGGAAGACACATCTCCTTTGCCTTGTGATGGACGATACCTTTTTCACACTCTAAAGGACAATTAACAGGCGTTTCTGAGTGCATTTGGAGATTGTGAGTTAGATAACATATTAGTATAAAAACATGGGCTCGCAGTCATCAGAGCAGTATACCATCTGCACATACTGAATGAAACGGCACAAACAGATCGCCATGTGACTTTGAAACACCAGCAACGTCATATTATTCCTATTATAGATTATAACTGTTTAACAATGACGTTTTAGTGACAAAGCGCTTTCTTCTCTGTTTAAACTTAAAGGACGATGTTCAAAAAACTCAATGAAATGTGAAGTATTTTTAATGAATGGCATTCATGAATAAATAGATCCGCACGCAGATATCAGCCGCTAGTTCGCAACCTGCAAACCCGTCACCAGCCTCACGTGAGGTAATCCGTGCTGTTTCTAAAAATAGATGTTACCGGTGACCGACGCACGGGACTGCGAGGCGCGCCCCCGTATCCCATCGTCCTATTTATAGATGAGGAGATTTCACTTGCAGCCCCCCAAAATAGATCTGTAGTACGTTCTTCAGGCGACGAACAGACACACACACACTCACTCACACACACACACACACACACACACACACACACACACACACACACACACTCACACACTCTGTTTTTATCTTTGATTTAAGATTAGGGTTAGTCTTTTGGGAATTCGATCAATGTAATGTATCCTCCAGTGATCAAGTGTTTGTGTTGAACCCGATCTGTTGTATACTAAAACTAAATGAAGGTGAATGTAGAGGACAAAGCCCATTTCTTTTTTAAAGAGTATTGATTATGTTGACCCACTGTTTACCTTCTCTAACAGTTTTCAATATGCAGACAGTAGCTCACGGATGAATCATCCTGCTACTTGCCTCAGCTTTTACTTGTTTCATTCCTTTGATTTTTTTTTTCTCATATTTTTTATCGGATGACCCAGCCGTCTCTCCTTCCTCTTCTAGAGTTTATTTTTCCATTGCTGGTTCCCCAAGGGTATCAGATTATGACCAAAAGATCAGAGAAGAATGTAGAAGTGTCCTGTAGACTTGCAGCGATAGAAGACACTTATTTTTTTACTCACAAAAAAGGTCCTCTAGTCGTCACTTTCAATGTGTACAGAAAATTCATTTAAGCTCTTGTAGTCGAAGCCTAAGCCTTGGTGATCAGTGCTGCACATCACATGTTGGAGCAGCGCCTCAGAGCGGATAGAAATACATCACCAGGCTGTTGCTGAATTGGGGACGAAAATGTTTTGGCTTGTTTTGGATGCAGCGTCACACTCATTATTTAAGTAAGACAGTTCAATACATAATCAATCAATCATTCAAAGTGTATTTATATAGCCCAATACCACAAACATTTTACATTTGTCTCATTGGACTTTACAGTTTGTACAGAATATGAACATGTATACCACACCCTCTGTCTTTGGACCGTCACATCGGACAAGTAAAAACTTCCAAAGAAACCCGGGGGGAAATTGAAGAAACCTCGGAGAGCAACAGAGGAGGATCCCTCTCTCCCAGGAAGGACAGACGTGCAATAGATGTCATGTGTGTAAATTAAAAAGGCAATATATTTGTTGAAAATGCTCGAGTCTATAAATAAGAAGATGAATCCAGGTGGATGTCAACAACCCTGTGGGTGCCATCAAAGAAAAGGTGAGTGTCAGAGACAGGCACTGCTGCGACTCAGGATGCATGACTCGGGATCCACGACTCGGGATCCACGACCCAGCACCACAGCAACAGGCACAGCCATCATTGAACAGAGGTTGTGCAAAACCTTTGTTATTCATTTTTTAAACAAAGGTTTTTTTCGTTTTTAAACCAACCATGAAAGGACTAATGTTGAGTCATGCTTCTCTTTCTACAGTTATATCGTTGGCCCAGTTTCATGAGTCGTGTCAAAGATTATCCAGAGGGATCCATGCAGCGATGTCAATGTGCCACAGGTCAGTGCTCTAAAGTGAAATGGTCCTTTGCTTGACTAGAAAAGTGCAGTAAAAGTGTGATGTATTATAAATACATTAAAACTCAAATTGGTCTGCCTTATTATGTTTTTATTGGTCTTCCCTTTCCTGTAGGTTGTTATAAAGGGTTGTGTGCATACATGGTCATGCATGTCACATTAGAGGCACACAATACAATTACGACATCTGAAAATAAGAATAGTAGGGCCCCTTTAACACCGCGGAAAATGGCAATAGACACTCATTTGTTAAGGAAACACAGCCACATCCTCTGCAGTTGTGAAAGTCTCAGTCTTTATTGTTATGGCCTGATTTCATGTTTTATTGATTTGTTTGTGCAGGTTATGACGATGGATTAAGTTTGATTCGTGATACTATAAAAAGTTGTTTATTATATCTACCCACACAACTTCCTATTCATTAAAGCTTTAAACTCCCAACTTATTGACTTGTTCCTCAGGAACTATCCCTTATTGCAATATGGCAATATCACCAGTAGTTTGGAGGAAAAACTAAAGTTTCTTTCCCCAAAATCTTGCAGTTTGAGTTTCTCTCGCTGCCACAAAGTTACAAATTGTTGTCCACACGCTGTGCTGTGTGCAGCATGGTCCTGTGCATCTTGGTGTCATTATCAACATAGCAACTCAATTGTTCTTGTTTCATGTAGAAAAAAATTACATTGAGCGGACACCTCATTGTGTTTGCTGCATCATTAACTAGCCTGCAAGCAAGACTGTGACCTTGTCTCATTTTGCCCATCATTAGAGTAATTAATGACCATCTTTAACAATAAAAGAGATTTCTTCTAATGAGCAAACGTTCTCATGTTTTGATCTTGTAGGCCGTCACCATCAACCACAAATTAATTTGACAGTGAATTATTTAGATTCTCTTCACACTTAAATGACAATGCCACTGTTTGTTCATGATTTAAAAAATTGTTATGATTAATAAACCACATATTCATAATTTGTTTACATTAAAGCATGTACACATGTCACAGTAGAGCCACGAAAAACAATTACGAAACCTGAAAATAAACATAACAGCAGAAGAGGCTGGAAAAAGGTGTTGCAGTACAGGATGAGAAAAACAAATACATTTTTGAACATTAAAGGTGGGGTAGGTAAGTTTGAGAAAACCGGCTCGAGATACACTTTTTGTTATATTCCATGGAATGCTCTTAACATCCCGATAGCAATGAATATCTTAAGTGCTTTGACAAAAAATCCGTTAAAAAACGTCATCTGTGGAAGCCGTAATACTGTAAAAAGCACGACCAATCATTTTAGCCGGCCCCAGCTAAAATAACTGGATGGCCTACCTGCCTGTCAGCCTTCCATCTGTGCACAAATTTATCTCGTGCCCTCATTGGTCATGTGCGCGTTCGTGTGTGTTGGAGGAGGGGCTCTGTAAGGAAGTGGCAGATTTGTTCCGGCTGTGTATTTTCAAATTCTGGCGCACTCGAGCTGGTTTCTCCAAAATTACCTACCCCACCTTTAAAGTATCTAAACATGTCACAGTAGAGGCACAACATACACATAACCGGAAAATGTGTATAAAATGTCCTCTTTAACTGCGGACACTAATCTCCTACACATTGAAATATTCCCCAGGTTCTACAAATAGATCAAACTAATATATAAATGCCATAACTTATGAAGCCCATGGATGCACAGTGTTTCATTGTATAACCCTGCAACATAAATCCTCTTCACTCAGACCTAATAAGTCATATGAGCATTATCTTGCAGATCC